AAGAGCGTAGTCAATGTCACTGAAGTGTGTATGCAGAAATTTTTGAAACGGTGTATCTTTGGCTATGTGTATTTTCACCAAAAAAAAAAAAAAAAGGTTGAGAAGTTAGAAGGTTGATATGTTGTGGGGTTGTTAACCAATGTCATAAAACAACATGTGTACTACTGTTTCATGAGAAACTATTCGTTCTGTTAAGCCTTCACCTGAAGTACAATAAAATACGAAAAAAAAAAAAATTAAGACTGGGTAATTACTGCAAAGGATATGGAGTAGTGCTTTTCACCAGCTGATTGCTGGAGCTTGTATTGAATAGAACGTTTTGTTCAGAGCATCTTTGCTGCTGATATGACTGAAGAAGAAATTCCTGGAAAACAGAAGGAATTAGCACGACCTAATAGATTCAAGCATCAATTGTACATTTTTATAGATAACATTTTTACGCACATAATTTGATTTAATATTTTAGAGGGTCTACAGCATAAAAAGATACAGTATTTGTACACTGATTTCTTGGAAACTAGTGGCCTCAAGATAGGCAAGGAGGCATCTGTATATTTTTAAAGTTGTTGCTCTCTGGCATTTTTAAGACTGATCAATCTCAGACATTTTAAATTCAAATAAAAGTTGAAATATCTCTTCCTTGGAAGAATATAGTTAGAGATCTAAATATAATTTCTTTGGCCACAGAGCTACATCATAGAACTTTATACTATCATTGCAGAATTCTTCTATTACATGCCATTTCAACTTATTTTATCAGTATTTAAAAGAAGTGTTGTAATTTTCAAAAGGAGATGATAATACTATATTACTTTTTAACCATATAGTGATCAAAACTGAATTGAAATAAATCCCTTTCAGTGTATGGTGAGAGGGGCAGAGAGCTAGGGCTGCATCCCTAGTACATGCAGAGTAGGAGACCAGGAGTCCAGTTGTCTGAAGTAGTGGATCAAAGTCTAACTGGTTATAAGATCCTGAAAGGTTCTGAAATTTTATGGTGTGGTGTTGCCTTGTGTAATTTGTAGAAGCGTCACTGTATTCCCCAATAGTCAGGCAAAGCTTGTTCCCAGCTCCAGGAAACAAACGTAGAAGCTTAGCATTTCTACAGATTTTACTCTGGTCCTTTGAAGAGATGTATCAGTGTGACTGCAAATATTTCCTCTCTGTATATGTGTCTATGTTCCCACCTATAGCTATGCATGAAATTGTTAAAGTGTGAGAAGTTATGAGAGAACAAACTCTTTTCCGTGAACTGAAAATTGGAAACTGCATTCTGGAATCTCCAAATGCTTTTAACTTTCCGGCAGGGAAGAGAAGAGGGATATGTATCATATAATGATATTGGGTAGGCCTTGAAGCTTCAGGCATTCAGTAATCAAGTGTAAGACATTTTACAAAATAATCAATCTAAGAATGCCATCAAGGATTTAAGGGATCTTTTAAAAAATAGTAGAAAGTCATCATAAAAAAATCCAAACAGCTGGTAGTGGAAAGGTCACAAATAACTTGGTTCAACCTGTCTACTTGATAAGATGTGGTTAGGAAAAATAAACTTTTATGATTGAGTAATATGAGAAAAAGAAAGAAAACAGATTTTTCACTTAAAAATCCAACCCAAATAAAATTCAGTAGACATTTTTATTGGTACATCTTTATTTGTTTGCTTGTTTGTTTTTTAATACTTTTTCCACTCTTGCTCCAAAAAAGGCTTTCATGCAACTTTTGGGGCAGAGGAAAACTTTTCTTCAAATAATTTTAAAATGAGTATATTTTTGTATTTTAGAACTTTGGTAATTTACTCAGTTGAAGTCTTTAAAGGTCATAGTTTCTAAATATAAAGGGATCTTCTGAAAGACATTTTAAGCATTAGTATCAATAAACGATCTGCAAAGCTTATGGCTATGAACTCATGAGATGGTTTATAATTCACAGAGGAAAATCTGTGTCATTATTTTATCAACATAGGTATACATCGCCATGAAAGAAAATCTTTGTCAAATACCCTTTGGTATAACCACCTATTGTCAGGAAAGAATTTATTTTCAAAATAAAAAGTCTTGGATGAGTTACTGAGGCTGCTTCCTGTCCAGGCTTTAATCATCCCCAGCAAATGTATGTGGTTCAAAGCTTCATTTAAAAGCATTAGATGGAATATGCCAAATTCCCTCCTTTCTGAGTCTGAATAAAGCCTTTACCATCACTTGACAAGTATAAATGATGCCAGGCATTTATGGAATTTCAAAAAATTGCTAAATTATGTAGTTCTTTTAGTGTTATTTATATCTAGATTTCCCAATCTAATTGTGTATTTTATACATCTTTGCTTTCAGAATATTTACTTATTCAACAAGCAGTTTTATAACCTTAAATGTCCACATTTCTAGTGTCCCTTGAAAAATAAGAAGCTGACATCACACCAATGTGAATCTCAGTGTGACAACAGGTTGTGGCCACCCCAGAGGTGCTCGTTGTAAGAACCAGCATCTCACAGCGCTCTGGCCTCTGTTGCCACACAGGTCACATTCTTCATCATAGGACCTTCATGGTCCCATTAGCATTTGAGCTTGTACCCTTTGCATAGATTTTCTAATTTACTCAATGAGCATGGAGATGGCACAGGACTGGCAAATGTTTCTGTCTGTTATACACAAGGTCACCATGAGTCAGAGCCAACTCAATAGCAAAAAATAACAAGGTCCTGCTACAATTGTACGATTAATAGGAATATGTTTTTTACTTTCTTTTTTTTTTGTCTAGATTTTATATTCCTGAATTTTGTTTGTCTAATGAATATTCCCAGTTAATTCCCATTGGCACTTGATACTCACCATAGCTAATTGGAATTTGAAATCGTTCCTAGAAGAGTTATTTATTATTACCATTGGAGCCTTACTCCGAGTCGCCTATGGAAATCACTTCCTAACTAGTCATTCTGCTTCCAAGTTTGTTTCTTCCATTGTTTCTCATTCCTGTTGCCCTACATAGTATTGCTTTTTCTAAAGCATTGTACGGATCCTCTCATCTCATAACCTCAAATCAAGTGGGATAACAACAACAGAAAAACCTTCAGTGTTTTTCCCTTCTTTAAAAAAAGACGAGAGGGACAAAGAATCTGTCCGGCCTCTCATGACCCTTACAGTCAATAGTTGTCATAATTAATACAAAAGCTTGATGTTTTGTGTTCTCTCCAGTTGTCTTTGTACTGTGCAGGCAGGTTGGAGGTAATCGAATATTATCACTATCCTTGAAACTGTAGGTGATTAGGACCCTTAAATTTTCCTTAATTCCTACCTGTCCTTTGTGGCTTTTATTTATTTTGCACTAGAGTTGATATCCTCTCATGCTCTTACGTTTTTTGCATCTTGAATTAAAATTATTTTGATTTCTCAAATACATAAGAGTTATTGTAAAGAAACACTTGGTAAGCTTAATGCGGACATTTTATAGAAGAAAACTTTTCTTAGACTATAAATGTAAATCATTGAGTTTGTTCTCTTTTCTCTCCCCTGTACAAATAGATGCAGAATCCAATCTTGACTTTTTAGAGATCAACAGGGCGCTATTATGTTGTTAATTTAAGGATGTATTTTCTTCAATGGAAGTTTAACAGAAACACTGAGCAAAAAGAGCACATTGATCTTTTTTTTTTTTTTAAGAAAATCAAGAATTGGAGGTTAGGTGGAAGTAGAAATAAATAAACCATGTCATACCTCAAGATTTCAGCTCTAGTTTTTAAAATGGTCAAAATTTGCACCGTGATATGAAGTAAGAAGTGCGTTACTGTAAGACTGTCTTCACAGATGGCCTTAAAATGTTGTCTCACATGAAGGCAATACACAGCTCTCAGTACTGCAGAAGATAAATCTTCATTTCCGCCATCTATTTCTTTGAGTTTAAGAGCTTAGTTTGACGATGTCATTATAATAATTCACGTGTGGAACTTGCATTGTGCACGCAGTTGCTCAGAAGCCTCATAACTGTGTACATGAAGTATGTGGCAGGTGGTAATTCATGATTCCCCAGTCTTTCGTGAGCAGAAACAACTTTTTAATTCCCCATGAAGCTTCAGATGTTGGAGTTTAGGGGCAGTTGTCATGAAGGCTGCGGCTCTTGATGATGAGTTAGAAGGAGTACTGGCAGTGACATTACTGACAAGAGCCCGGAGGCACCCACAGGTGTGTTCTGCCCTTCGGAATGTGCCAGGCTGTGAGAGAGGGGATTTGAAGGCAGCAAAGACTTGCAGGTTAGTCAGATAAGGCTTTGAGACTTACTCTAAGAATCCAATATGCTGGCTGGAGTTACGGATTATAACTGGTTTAACAGATGACGATTTATAAGTCTTTGAACAAAGATTCTCCTTAATATAGAAATAACCAGTAAAAACCAGCTGCCCTGAATAAATTCCAACTCAAGGCGGGCGACAGTGTGTCAGAGTAGAACTGTATTCTGTCAAGTTTTCAGTGGCTGATTTTTTTGGATTTGGATCACCAGGCCTTTCTTCTGAGTTGCTTCTGAGTGAACTCAAGCCTTCAACCTTTCAGTTAGCAGCTGAGCATGCTAACTATTTGCACCACCCAGGGACTCCGATATATAAATAGAAAGAACAAGCAAGGTCATGAAACTTGAAGAAACAACAAAAGGTTAACAAATAAAGCCCCCAAAAAAGCCTATATTCCTCTTACTCTTTTCAAATTCATCATCTTTTTTTTTCTTTTTATATTTCCAGGAACATTTGACAACCTAGTTTATTTCATCTTTATTTTAATGTTATCGTACATTCTTTTTTTAGTTCCATTCTTTCTTTCCCGTTCTTTCTCGTAGGTTTTGATCTAGTAAAATGTGAAGAGCCAGGAATCCCTAACTACGGCTATAAGATCCGAGATGAAGGCCACTTCACTGACACGGTGGTTGTCTACAGCTGCAATCCAGGGTACGCCATGCACGGCAGCGGTACGCTGACCTGCCTGAGTGGAGACAGGAGGGTATGGGATAAGCCATTGCCATCTTGCATAGGTGAGTTGGAGAGCCAGTTTAGATGACTGTAGTGTACTATCTATTGCTTTGACCTCACCTTTTGGAAGAAGAGAGTTTTTTTTTTTTTAATACACTCTTTCCAGTTTGGGTTTCTGTGTATTCTGAAGATTTGTGGGATTTTGTTCAGTTATGAAAGACAGATTTCCTAGTACTATATTACTGAGAATATATGCACAGATGTATTGTTATAACCATGACACGAGCGTTGCAGTGTTCCATCTTCTCGACTATAATTACGCAAGATTTATTCCTTTCCATCAGGATAATGGCTGGGAAGAAGTAAAGAAGGGAAATGATAAAGAGAATTAATGTGACGTTTCCCTGGGTACAGAATACAGAACAATTGTTTTGGTTTTTAAAAGTTGTTGGGCATTGTAATACATGGAGATTTTCCCATGTTTCCAAATCTTTTACAGCGGAATGCGGTGGTCAGATCCATGTGGCCACTTCGGGGCGCATATTGTCCCCAGGGTACCCAGCTCCCTATGACCACAATCTTCACTGCACTTGGATTATAGAAGCCGACCCAGGAAAGACCATCAGGTATTTGTTCTATTTTTGTTGCAGTGATTCAAGGTACAACTTCTATTATTTAGTGGATATAGTAGTACATCTATTATCCAGGGTAATGAAGAAGTTTTTGTGCTAAAGAAGGAAACTTAAAAGTATAGCTAAATGCTTCTTTGGCTCACTTTCTTACATGGCTATTCCTCTGAAAGGTTTGTAAAGCTGTACATAATAGAGATTCGAATAAATGAGGTAGCGGTTAGCTTTTGCTGTACGACAGTCTACCGTCAAAACATGTTGGCTCTAAGTAACAATCATTCATCTGCTCCTGACTGCCAATCTGGAGCAGCTTGACTGAGGGATCTGGGCTCAGCTAGGCTGGCTGGATCTCTGCACAAGGTTCCTCTGCCCTCAGTAGGGTAGTCCATGCTTATTCACTGAGCAGAAGGGTTCTCAGTAGCAAGGGGTGGAAAACTTTCACACTTCTGTTTACCTTTGCAAAAGGCCATTTACCAAAGCAAGTTTTATGATGAAGACAAGATCTGAGGTATGAAGAAATAGGCTCCACTCCTGAATGGGTGGAGCAGCAAAGTGGTATTGAAAAGGGGCGTGTATCCAGGGATGCCAGGAAGTTGTGGCCATTCAGCAATCTAAAGATAGAAGCTAGAGATAGAACAAGAAGTATGCTATATAAAGTTAGAAAAACAAAATAAAATAATAAAAATTGCAGAAAATTGTGCAAACGTGTAAACAAAAATTATTGTCCTCCTTAAAGTGATAGTTCTAAATTATTATGGTGATATTTTTAGACCGTTTAAGCCATTAAGTAAACAAGCCAACAAAAGTAATATCTTTAAAGCAATTTCTCCATGTTCTAGTCTGCAAATTAAATCAAAATAATAGTCCATAAAATAAAGTTATTTCAAAATAAGTTGTTCCTTAATTATAGCTCTTAGTGAACTAAAAGAGAACACATAGTCCCCAGAAAAACTTCTTAAAATCCCCCTTTTCTCCTTCAATTAATTTTCCTCATTCATTATATCCATTCCTAAATCTCTCTACAAAATTGAAAAAAAAAAAAAACTTGCCCCTTCTCCAGAGCCCTGGTGGCAGAGTGGTTAAGCCTTTGGCTGCTAACCAAAGGGTGGGCAGTTCGAAATCACCAGCTGTCCTGTGGAAACCCTAAGGGGCTGTTCTACTCTGCCCCATAGGGTTGCTGTAAGTTTGAGTCGACTCCATAGCAGTGGTTTTTTTTTTTTGCTTTACGGCCTTCTCCTGCACCAGTTTTCCTTTACGGCCTTCTCCTGCGCCAGTTTTGCTTTACGGCCTTCTCCTGCACCACTCTTAGTTCACGTGTCTTTGATTCGTGCTGTCTTCATTGTGCTGTTGTGCCCCATCAACAAAGACATGAACCTCTCTGGTTAAGGCAGCTCCGCCTCAACATAAGTGAAGCTAAATACATTGAGAAATCAAAGCCAAAAACCTCTTTCTGGGGGAGATGGAAGGACAGAAACATTGTTAAATTAATATAAACTTAGTAATTTATATTTACATGGCAATCGTAGACTGATAGTACTACAACTTTATAACTTAGAAAAAATGAACTGGGATGAGGTGAAGTAAAAGGAGATGTGTGTTCTGTTCCACGATGTTCTATTTCCCTCGGTTGTGTCATGGGTTTTTTCCTTACGTGACTTTTCTGGCCCGCGGTTTGTAACTCTCCCAAAGGGATTGGTTGAACCACAGTCTTGCAAGGGATCGGTTGGTTTACTAGTCACATAAGTAGCTTGCAGGGGATTGGTCTGTTTGCTATCTGCATAAATCTTGCAAATCCACCCAGTCGGATTGTCGAATTAACAGTCGTGTAAAGGATTGGTCGGTTTATGAATGCCACACCCTGAAATTGACAAGGAGTTCTCTTATATTAGATCTCATAGAGGTTTTTAAGAGCCAGGAGAGAATCCCTTTCTTTGGACATGGGGACGTGTGCTGAAAACCTCCTAGAAGAGCTGTAATACAGATCAAGAGCTGTGGCACTGAGCTGGTAACACTCTGGGCTGCTGACACTAAAGAGTGAGGGATATGGCAAGCACAGCACGGACAGGCAGCAGAGAAATGGCAGCAGTGGTGCTATCTGGGAACCAGGAGACTGGCAGATGGTGGCCGTGGGCAGAGTCGGCCCATGGAGAAGATGACGATGTGGGCAGAGTCAATCCAAGCAGCAGAGCTGGGTGCGTCTGGGCAGCAGGTGGCCAGCAGAGTAGAGTCTTGGACATAGGCTGTAAAGGGGTTACCAGTAAAAATCTTGCCTGGAGAGCTGGCATAATGCTGGCCTAACCCCATCACTGGCCCAGGGTTGTTCCAAAGCTGCTGGGTGTGAGCTGCACCAGCAATCACAGGGGGCCAGAGCTGGCCAAGAAAAGCCGTGGAGAGAGACAGACAGACACACAGAGAGAGAGAGAGGGAAACAAGCACACCACACCTGACCTGAGCTGGTGACGCACCTGCTGAGGGAGAGCGACAACTGCTGACTCTTGGTCCGTGGCATGCCTGCCCGGTGACACCGACATGACACGGGTAATTTGAGAAGGGTGAGAGATATGTGAGTTTCTCCCCTACGATGCCAAGTAGGGTACTCGTAGGGGGAGAGGGGACCAGCTCAGCTCACATCTCTTCTTGTTGTTCACTGTTTGCTTTTCTATAATTAATAATAACGGCTTTCAATTGCCAACACTGTTTAAGTGTCTTGTGTGTACGACCCAATCAGATCGAATAGTAGAGTCCTCATCCTAACAGTCTTATTGCTGCTGGTAATTTTGAGACAACTAGCATGTGTTTGGGGGCCCTGGTGGCACAGTGGTTAAGAGCTTGGCTGCTAACCAAAAGGTTGGCGGCTCGAATCCACCAGCCGATCCTTGGAAACCCTATGGGGCAGTTCTACCCTGTCTTACAGGGTTGCCGTGGGTCAGAATCAGCTCCATGGCAACGAGTTTGTCATGTGTTTATGCGCACAGTTCACTCTTCCGATATTCGCCCTCTCCAAGATTCACTTATTTTACTTTTTGTTGAATCATGTTAACGCTTTGGGAATAAGTAAACTTACATAGCACAAAGTATTACCGTTTTCAAATCCTATGTAAGAAATGTTCTCACTATGTAAGAGGAACAAGAAACAGAACTTAAGTATATATCGAATGCAAACATATGATTTTATCATAAACCATTTAAAGATTAAGTTGTGTCCTAAATCAAGATGAATGATTGATTAGACAATTATTGACCTATTGAGACAACACTGAAGTTCATTTGAGTAATTCAAGATTTTGTATTTTTCACGAAAATCAATGAAGTCACTTTTCCATTGAAATAAATTAAATATTAGTTCCTAATTTTGAACTCTGAACACTTGATTTAAGTAATATAAAAGCCGTTAGACTGGTTTTGATTTTGAAAACTCCTAGAAATTAATTATGGTTAATGGAATGACTTTACATAAACAATCTGCTTTCTTTTCGGAGCGTTTCAAATCTTTGTACATCTTACAATTTCCCTTGTGGTTTGTTTTCCCAGAATTAGAATGAGCAGTATCTTCTCCAAAATGTAGAGTGATGAATTCACACTTCGCAGGTGAAGCTAATACTTCATTAACATTTTCATAAGAAAAGAGAAAAGAAATTAGTAAGAATGATTTAAAGTAATGAAAAATGTATAACTTTTTATATCACGAACTATAATATTTAACCATTAAGATTTTCTCTGATGCAAAATGAGAGAAAAAAAAGACATTGCATGCACTAATTTGTTATACCAGAAAGTTTTCTTCTGATGCGTATCTTTCAAAATGTGTAAACATATACATTTGAAAGATATGTATGTTTACCTTAGCAAATTTATAAACAGATTTTTAAAAAAATTAAGACACAAATTCCTTTCTAGTATGGAAGTTAAGAGGGAAACGTTAGTATTTATAATTAATTTCTTAAATGATATCCAACTTCATACAAAAATATTTCCAGTGATTAAGTTGTCTTTCCTTAAGGAAATAGTATTTTTTTAGGCTGGGGTTGGAAAACGGCATACTTAAAAGAACATAATGTGCAATTTTAGGCTGAAAATTGTACTAAGAATCAGAAAAACAGATTCTGGTCTTAGCTTTGTTGGCTAGCTTACTAAGTCTGAGTTATTTCAATGGTATGATAGCCAATATTACCTACACTCTATACTCAAAAATGAGGAATTTATCAGTTATAGAACATGAGTCCAGGGATTAACGTATTAAGAAAATGTTAATAAAACAGAATTAATTGCAAAGTATGCATGCTACGATTTTTTAATGTTAATGCTTTTCACTCCCAGAAGATAAGTAAAAAACAGGATATTGGAAAATATAACAAATGCTGGTTTCCACTCTTCAGGCCAATTATTATTGGGCCTGCTTTTATTTCACTGAGGCCGATATCACTTACCGATTGTATATTGTTACAACTTTCTATTCAAAGTAATAGAAACCCCCCAAATAGTTATTATTATAGGGTACTTGGGTCTGGAAAAGGTTTGTAATTTTAACATACATGCTATAAGCAGTTACCTGAGCAGAATTTAATTAAAAGTCTAATCACAAAACATTGTAGTAAATTTAGCCACATTAAGTGTTATATGTAAACATTTCTCTAACAGACCCAGTGTATTTCATTGCTGAGGACAGCTATAATTTATGTAATAAAGGAGACAGCATTATAAACATCTTCAACAAGCAACATTGGAGGCTTTGTTTTACATAATCACATGTGTATATTGTTCCTTAATTTTAATTACTTTTCTGTAAGTGTAATTATCTGGAAAACTCACCTTGGAAATATTTCTGTTCACAATCGTTTGCAAGAAATTTTATTTGGTAGCGTAGTTGAAGGAACTTATTTTTAAAAAGCTTTTACAGTGTTAAAAACATCAGAATAACTTCAAACTTTTTTCAAGATTGTCAAAACTGGTCCTAGGCAGGCTTTTAAAGAAAGTGAAACTCACGTTGGTGATCCTGG